TTTAAACTATGCAGTATACAGAGCCGGCCCGTGGCATAGACAGTATAGGCAAATGCTAGAGTAACGCCGACTGTCCATAGGGGGCGACCATGGCCAAAATGAGCAAGGAAGAAAAGTATAGTAAACTATCACTAAATGTTATTTTATCTTTTAATTATTACAAAACAAGCCAAAACAACATAACTACATCACCTATTTCAAAAGGCTCTATTTTCTTGCTCCTTGCTCAACCTGATGCATCACAACACCGCTAACACCAGCTAAAATCTTGGCAAGGGCATTAAGTGGGTTGGGGCCGGCTCTGTATACATACAGTTTACATCTGTGTGGAGAAAGTTGCCACTGTTTCAAACTTGGGCGGTCTGCTATCGAGGACAAAAGCCTCTGTGCATGTTGCGAGTGCTGGCAGATAAAAGAATCAAAGAATCGTCTTCAAACTCCTCCTGTACACCTTCAAGGCCATCCACAACCTCGCCCCTCCATATCTGTCTGACCTCCTTCACATCGCCACTCCAGCCCGCTCCCTCAGATCCTCCTCCTCTATCCACCTCACCGTGCCCTTTGCCCGCCTCAGCACCATGGGGGGTCAGAGCTTTCAGCTGCTCTGCTCCTCAGCTCTGGAAATCTCTGCCACCTGAATACGCAATATTGACTCTCTCCCCATCTTCAAATCCAGACTCAAAACCCATCTGTTCAAGATCGCCTACTCACTCTAACATTTTAACTGCAATTACACTGTCCTACATTTCATTTTTTTTATTGTATGCTGATTTTATCCATCGTTGTTTTTTTTAAATGTTGATTGTTGTACAGTGTCCTTCTGTGTCTTGAAAGGCACTTCTAAATACAATTTATTATTATTATTATTATTATTATTATTATTACCCGTGCCACTTGCTGCAATGCATTTTGAGGCAGTTTAGTGTGACCAGTCTGCTCTCGTTTCTTGCTTAAAAATTCTGGCCGGTCTAGTTTACATCCAGGTATTTCTCACATACACAAAATGAAGTAGAGGATTTGAATTCATCTTTCATTGGTGTTGGTATTAAGGCTTAAGAAGAATTGGGCTGTAATAAACACTTCCTCCACTAGGGGGCGCTATTCAACAGTTCTAAATGTATTCACAGTTAATGTTACATATCAGAAAATGTCAGTGTTTTTCGACTTCTCCTGGATTTGCTGCCCCAGCTGGGAGACCACAAGACTTCCTCTTCCTCTGCAGCGCCCTGTTAGTCAGTGCAACACTGCTACCAGGTGGTGATGAGCGGTATTACACCTGATTCCTGTTTATCATGGTCTGCTTCGAATCAGACCTGATTCATTTTTCATAGATCTTTTTTGCTGAATGCTTCTTATTTGTAAAATATTGCAATTAATCCAATCCTATGTGTGAAACATTTTGAGGACCTGGAATAACAAAATAGAACATAAGCAGCACTGTTGCACAATTATTATTAAGAACAAGTACTATAATTTAATGCTGCTGGAAGTTGCATTATTCAAGTGTCTCCACCCCAAAGTAAAGGCTTGATTAGCAGCCTTAAGTAATTTATTTATTTAATCGTCATTATCTGAGCCACTTAACGCTGTCTTTCTGTATTATTTCCTTTTTTTTCACTCCAAGGTGGATCTTCATTTCATTCCTTTGGTGACTTTCACTGACAAACTTTGGTTTTCACGGGAAAAGGGTTGTTGAAGTATTGCTGTGGTTTAAAGTCTTGGAGCCCTCAGGGTTAGCCTAATGACCTGCGGCCCCAAACAGTTGCCCTCCTTGCCTCTGTTTATCATCTCTTTCACATGAGCACATCGCTGATCATTTATATTTTGTATACTGTAGGCCTCTCTCTATTCTTTGCTTATTTCAAATATGTGTCACACCTCTTTTATTTGTCCTACAAAGGAAACACCTTTGCTTTCACGAGATGCCTCTCAGGAATTGAGACGTCCTTCAAGATGGCGTTGTGATTGATTTCCCATCACAGGCCGCAGTACAAAGGAGAGAGGAGACATGGAGGCAGGGCATAAATGAATTAGAAAGTCTTAGAGAGTCTGTCATCTTCAGATTACTCTGAAACCTCTCTGTTCCTTTTCTCATCTCCACGGGTTGTTTTAAATGGTTGCAAAGCTGAATGCCCCCGCAGCCAATTAGATTAAAAAAATAAAGTACATTAGCGTTATGTTGCTAGGCTAGGTGGCTAGTTTCCACATCCAATTCTTACTGCTTCCAGTTTTCTTACACAAAACAATTTCAGCCTTCCTTCATACTCACACTGGAGATTCAGACTGTTCCACTTCAGCAGCAGCCATCTTGCTTGTCTCGTCTTAAACTCGCAGATTATAAAGACCTTTATGATGGGCTGCAGATGTCCTGGCGGTTAGGATGTATGGGGTTGTGGTTCTCCAGGCGGGCGGCCAAGATTCTGGTCCAACCTGCGTCTCTTTTCCCGCATGTCATTCCCCTTCGACATCCACTGTCCTATCAAATAAAGGCAACGATTGAGAAAACTTCAATCAAATATGAATGAATGAATCTTTATTTTCCTTTCTGGCCTCAACACGTCCCATCTGGGATTATTCAGACGCATTTAAAGAAAACATTTCCTCATGCCTTCACACTGACACAAAACGAAACAAAAATTATTCAAGGGTAAAGTCAACAATTCAACACCAGAAAACCAGAAACCAGAAAAAGTCAATAAATACCTCAGACAAAAAGAGAGAGCAAGAGGGTAGTGTTGAAGTCTAGACCACACTAACTGAGACCGAGACATACCCAGGACCAGGAGTGCTCCAAGACAGAGACCAAGACATTTAGGGATCGAGGCCGACTCAAGACCAAGACCAAGGCAGGACGAGACTGAGACCAAGACCAAGACCAAGACCAAGACCAAGACCAAGACCATAAATATCAATGAAAATCGTCATCTTGTGTGCAACGTTGAGTGTGTCACTCTCTTAGACGTAACACCCAGAAGGTTGAGGCGATAAACAGGGGATGAAAATCTAATTATGAATACATTTCTTCTTTTAGAAAGAGGAGTTTCCTTCTAATCACAATGATGAGGTGGAAAAATAGCCATTCAGTGGTGGTCTTGACCAGTCTTGATTTAAAATCCAGAGTCCGCCTAGTCTGAGACCGAGACAAGACCGATTAAAAATGCTTTTGATTCCAAGACAAGACCTTCAAAGAGTGGTATCGTACCGGTCTTGAGACCTAGACCGATTTCTAGTACTACAGAAGTACAAGAGGGGTGTGAGCGAGAGTCAGAGAGAGATAATAAGAAATGAGCATGTAGGTTAATCTCTTCAATAATTGAAAATATCTTTGAGGGAATAAGAACTTATGTACGCTCTCTCTTTACTTGGAATGAAATACAAAAAGAGCTGGAACAGGAACTGGTCTCACTGGATGCTTTAAAGAATGAAGCTTAGAAGATGAATATATTGCCATGATCTTGTGTTTCTTAAAATGTTATCACTGCTGACAAAAGAGGTAAATAAATGTTCTTCATTCATGTCTGTGTACAGAAACTTCAGGCCATCCCTGCACAAGTCAGTTCGCCAATTGGGCCACCCCACTCCCAATAATTCTGGACACGCCCCTGAGTCTTGGAAAAGAGATTTTGAGTTTTTTCCTGGTTAAAAAGATGTTTAAAGAGGATATATTTTACTTTTCAAACAGTTCACCCCTGTGGTCTAAATGAAATATCTGTTCAGTGCTTTGGTCAAAATACAACATGAATCAAGCACCAGAGGAGGTTTGTGACCCTGTATAAACCAGCTCTCTCAGAACGCTCAGTTTTGGTGTGTGTGTCTCTTTAAATGCAATGACCCCCCCCTGAGTTTTCCCGGTAGACATCACTCCTACACTAGCGAAAATAAAAATGGTAAACCTGTGCAAAAGTTTTGTTCTAGGCTGGTGGTGGAGATACCAGGGGAGGGGAGGGGATTTTTTTGTACCAGAATCCCACTGTGACGTCACAAGGACAGCAAATTAGAAACGGAGCATTTTTCTCTGTGTTGTAAGACTTATGCAGACCACAAACAAAGGACTGGGTGGGTTTATTTCACATTTTGTGGGTCAGAAGACACTCAGGTTACCCAAATATATGTTAAAAAACACTGTGAAAGTGGATTTTTCATAATATGTCCCCTTTAATTGAGGACATAAATAAAAATGAAGCTCTTTTGTCAAAATGTTCAAATAGGAGTAAATATATTACTGATCCAGGATCTGATGTTGAACTGACCGTGAGTAAAAACATTGATCTGATCGGCCTCAAGCCTACTCCATCTGCTGATTGGATCATTCTCTTTTTTCTTTCATCTCCTTCCTGCATTCTGTCCTCTCTGTCCGTCTCCTTTTGTCTTTGAATGTCTTCAAACCGCCGTCATTCACTCTCTAATGGACTAAATCACTAAACCTCCTCCTCTGATTGCAGCCCACATTTCTGTGTGAGGGAAACTCGCCCTGTTAGGTTGTTGTCAGGATGACTGCGTCCCTGTCAGGTAGTGAGGTGACACCATGGCAACCGGAGTCTGCGGTACATTTGTGTGTTAATTAGTGTTGTGATTAAAAATGATAATCCCTCAATTGAATTTTATCCTCCTTTTCAAATCACCTGATTATGTAAAGTGTGTGTGTGTGTGTGTGTGTGTGTGTGTGTGTGTGTGTGTGTGTGTGTGTGTGTGTGTGTGTGTGTGTGTGTAAACATTGTTCTCTGTTGCTCTGAGGTGCAGGAGACAGATTAGGATTGCGTTAACATAAATAAACCCCAAAAATGTTTCATATTTTCACTCTGCAGACACAAAATCTGCTGTCAGAGAGATGAGGGTGCTGACGTGCGTCTCATCAGCAAATCAACTTTGAATTAGTCTGATTCCATAAGCCAAGGGGGTGGTGTGTGTGTGTGTGTGTGTGTGTGTGTGTGTGTGTGTGTGTGTGTGTGTCAGGGGGCTTTATAAAAGGTCTGAAAGGTCGAACCTGAAGTCAGTTTAGGTGTCGGATCATCAGAGGAGCTGCTGTGTGTCGACAACAGAGACAATGTGAGTACCTTTAAACGACGCAAGTGTGTTTTTCTTTCTCCATATTTATACAAAATTTGATCATATTTGTTATAGTTTTTATTCTTGTATATTTTTTGTACTGTGTGATCCTTGTTTTCTTTTATTCTGTTGAAGTTATTTCTGTATAAAAGCAGATTTATCCTCCACGTCTGTACGGACAACATACAGCTTTCAGGCACAAATGATGACAACATTTTCCATTAAGATTTTAAAAAATAAAAAATAAATGTATCAACCCATCTGATGTGTTTTCTACTTTAAAACTAAAGCAATATCTAATTTAAATTAAATATGAACTGAACCAAATTACAATTTTGGTCCCTCAGATCTAAAAATTGTTTATATTAATTCAGGAAGGGAAAATTAGCATCTTTATATTTTTGTATAATTTGTTTTTTGGGGGTGATTAAATGCAGGATGGAGTCAAACAAACTCAGGTTATTCTGGGATGTTAATGTTGCTGCTTTAGCATCCTTCTTACTTGATATTTGTTCTGCTTTGTTGGTTCTCAGTCATCCAGGTTGGGGTACATTTGAAGCTTGATACAAAGGCATCTGTACTTTGTTGAAGATCTTGAAGACGTTTCACCTCTCCTCCTCCGACAGGCTTCTTCAGCTGTAAACTATCTGGAGCTGAAGAAGCCTTTCAGAGGAGGAGAGGTGAAACGTCTTCAAGAGCTTCAACCAAAGTCCAGTTTCCTTTGGATCAAACTTTGAACTTGTTGGGTTCCTTAAAGCAGCTAATGAATCATTCTTCTGTCTCTGTTCATGAGGAGAGATCAGAAACACAGCCGCACTTTATTATGAAGCTCCTTTTCTGCCTCTTACCTCGTTTGAAACATGTCGTTCACACACAGTTAGGGACGGATTTGTTTCCTGACATTGTGCCTCACTCACTCATTTCTACGTCTGAGTCGTGCTTCTTGTTTCTGTTTTTAATTTTTCATCGTTTTTTTCTTCTGCTCTGATCTTTAACCAAGTGTCCATGTTTTTACTGTCTTTGATATCGAGGTCGTGTCTACGCTGTTGTCTGACCCTCGACACTTTACAAAATGAGAGTTATTGCTCGATTTGTTTTCCGAGCTTTTAAATAAATGATGATGAATATGTCACATGTTTCTTTGTCAGCCTCTGATTGGCTGCACGTCTGGGGTTAAATTACTGTGAACTCTCGGGTCCAGGTGTGGTAGAGGTCTAAGACGTGCAGAAGAAAGGTCTGTTTGATACGAGTTGATTGAGCTATGATCCAAACCAGCAGTTCTCAATCGACCAATCAAATCGATCAAATCGACCCTTTGCAATTTGTCATTTTTATTAACCTTGCTGATTGTTTCAGTTTTCAAATGTAGAAATGTCAGAACACTGACTTTGCTTTATTTTCTGGTGGATGATTAAACTTCTTCACCTGTAATAAAGTCACAAATATGAAAAGAAAAGGTAAATAAATCTACATATTGTTTAAGTTTCACATGTTTATGACTAAAAGAAACCCTAGAACTGTTCTGTAGTTCTCCCTCTTCTTCATCTTTTTTGAGTTTTAATGCAAGTGCTTTGTGCTGCTGTGTTTCAGAAGATGCAGACATCTCACAGACCTGTGCAGTGGCTCGCTGTCATGCTTCTTATCGTCTCCACATCCGGACAGTGTGAACAGAACAAGAGGTGAGACACAGAATCTCAAAGTGCAAACTGTGAAGGCTGTTTCTTTATCACGTTGGGAGAATACAGTGGAGTGATTTTATAAATGCAGCAGCAGAAGGAAGCGTTTGGTGTGCATCTGAGAGGAATATATCACTTTAAAACAGCAGCCTACCCAAAACAGTTTCTATTGATAAATATAAATTAAATCAAGATCAAAAGGGGAAAACAAAATTTTTCAAAATGTTTGCTCCAACACTTGACCTCATCCTTCTTTAGTTCTTAAAAACAAGGCTTGTGAAAGGCTGCATTTGATTTATCTACGACTAGACCAATGACTTTGTTGATGTCATTTGCACTGGGATAGAACCAGTTTAAAAACTGCAGTTCCTGGTGTGGCCAGTAGAGGCTGGCTACAAAAGTGAGTCAATGCCAAAAGACTGCAATGGTACAAAACTTTACTACAGGACTAAATATGATTACATCCTGGCAAAAAAAAAACTGTATTAGCTTCTATCTTCTTTCACTACTCAGTACAACGAGGGCTGAATTTTTGTCTAACTAACCCATTAAAAAATATTTTAAGGCTTCAAGTTTGTCACTGGAACGTGGACGCTGCTAGCTGTCTGCCTGATATCTTTTAAAGCGAATGTTTGGAGGGATAATTTGGCTTGGTTTGTTTGCGGTTTGTTGCACTAACAGGCACAAGAAATCTGTGCTCCAGTTTGTTTTGGTGAGTAGAAAATCCTGTCGAGCTCGTCTTCGTGTCCACCAGCGTTCACTCTGCCTGTTTACTCATTGCACAAGAGCAAAGTCTGCAACAAACGAGAACACTCATCCGTGACAAGAATGCGCTCAACTACTCAAAGCTATTTCTGCTGCTAAGAGAATAAGAAGACTGGTAACTTTGATGCAATCACTTAGAAAAAAAACCCAAAGAAAAACAGAGTCCAATATAAGTATGGACGGTTTATTAGATAAAAGTGACAAAAGGAAATCTTATGACAACTACAAGATGGTTGAGATGGTCCACAGAAAATATTCAACCTTTCTCTTTGTCTGCCTCCCTCCACCCGACAACAGGTTTAAATGATGACGTCGTTGTTGTTGTTGAATTCTCTCTGGGCTACAGAGCTGTATGTTGAGGAATCTGGAAACATAATACATCCATAGAATTCATTTTCCACGCAGTGTGAACACGGCCAGACATAAATGACTTGCTGGATATGAGAGGAATAAATTATAAGTTTGTTAAAAAAACAAATTTTAAATGGACTTGAGTTTGTAGTTTTTTTCTAATCTTCTGACTACTCAAAGTGCTTTTACACCGCAGGTCACATCTACACATTCACACACTGATGGTAGAGGCTGCTGTGTGAAGTGACCATCAGAAGTAACTCATCCATTCATACACATTCACATGCCGACAAAGCAGCAGGAGTAACTTTGGGTCAATTGTCTTGCCCAAGGATACATTGGACATGTTGCTACAGGAGCTGTGGATTGAACCCCCAACCTTCCAGTTGAGAGACTACTCACTCTACCAGTGAGCCACAGCCTCCCCAAGTTACAGACATGTGTTGAGCTCAAGCACATTTACATTACTGAATTTTATGTTAGAGCAATTTTAGCAAGAAGTCAGATATCTTTGGTCGCTCAGGTGAGAACAGGTATCCGTCCACTCGCCCTGGAAGACTTTGTGAGTTATGTGATGTAGGTGAAGTTGAGAACAAATCTGATGTATTTTTGTATTGTCCCTTTAATGATGAATTAACTAACAGAACTAACAGAACCTCTGCTCTCTCTCTCTCTCTCTCTCTCTCTCTCTCTCTCTCTCTCTCTGCAGTCGTCGAGCTGTAACCGAACACCAGCTGATGCACGACCGCAGCCAAAACATTCAGAGTCTCAAGAGACTCATCTGGCTGTCCAGCGCCATCGAGGGTCTCCACACAGCTCAGACCCGATCGGCCTCTTTCAACCCCTCAAAGTCCCTGAACCTGCCTGTGAGTCCTGCTGCCGAGAGCCCCCAACCCAGCCGGGTCCAGAGCCTCCTGAGAGACTTCTTTAACAATCCCTACCTGACCCAGCTGCCCGACAGAGAGCCCTGACACCACACTGATGCACAAACATGAAGCTACTGTACATACACATACAAAAAGATTTATTGTTTTTTATTTTATCAATAAAACGTAGACGGCACAACGACAATAACATCCACACTGCTCAGAATTCTGTCCAGCTGTAGACACGTTTAACGTCAGGTGACCTGTTTGCTTTTTCTCCTCCTCACTCTCTCACTGCAGCAGATAACATATTGTAGTCCTGAAGGTTTTCAGCATCATGAAGGTGGATTTAAGAGAAACACTGTTTGTCATCACTGTTCACATCACACTGATGTCGAGAGATGGACAATACAAATAAAAAGTACAAATGTTTTAGAGCATGGGGACTCATTTTTTTCCAGAAACAGAAATAAGAGACACAGAAATAGAGAAACAGAAACATACTGATATGTTTAATGAAACCTGTGTGTTTATTGTGATTGTGTACTGTCTTTATATTTGGACATGTTGAACTTGATGCTCTGGAAAGTTTGATTTTGAACTGTCATGCCAATAAAGCACTTTGAATTAGGCATTGGTGATGATTGTAAACGACCTCTCGCTGATTCATCTTCTCTGTTTGATTTTTTTTTTTTTTTTACATCAGCCTGATAACTGCAGACAGCGGGATAGCAAGTGTTAGATTCAGAGTCCCACAAGGGGGAGGGATACACAACATCAACAATAAAATCAGACCCAATTTAAACACAATACAAATACAGACAGGGAAAGACAAACAAATTATATGTCACATTTCTTATAAAGGCAAGCGGGGACAAGACAGGCTGTAAATGCAATTGTGTTTTATGCCATAATCTCATAACTCTTGTCGTTATAATAAAGATTAAAATAGCTTTTTTTCATCCACACACAAAAATAGTTAACTTTAACTAGTTTTTAGATTAACTTTTGCATTCAAGATTTTTTTTTTTTGTTTACTTTTCGTGACTTCATGGGCTCCGTAGTCTTCAGATATTTACTCTAATGAATGAAACATTGTTAAAACGGTCTTCCATAAAAAACACCCCAAAAAACTTTTTTCACTTAAATGTAAAAGAGAAGAAGTCCACAAATAAAAGCATTCACAAACCTACAAGGGAAGAAGGAAGGCGCTCACCTCCCTCTAAGATCAAACGGAGGGCAGAGCGATAACACGAGCAAACGTGTCAGCTAACGCGAGACTTCCGTGTCAGCTAACGCGAGACTTCCGTGTCGGCTAACGTGAACTAGCTCGCTGTGACAGCCTCAGTGACACCGGTCGAGGTGTTTCCACCTGCAGCTTCTAAACGTCGTTCCGGTGTTGAAGTCAGACAGGGGCAACTCCGAAACTCAGCGTCCACAGCGGGGTCCTGTCTGTCGACTTGAAGCTCCCTCACCGCCCCTTGGTTCTACCCGCTGATCTCGTCCTTAACTCGGCCAGGTCAGTCCGTCAGGTCGGCAGCTAGCTAGCCGTCTCTGGGTTAGCATGTCAGGCTAGCTCGGACTAGCCGCAATCTTCACCGGACGTGTCAACAGTGTGGTCTGATTTAAACAATATTCCTAAAAACGCAAGGCTATTTAAAGCAATGTGTGTATGCAGAGGTGATTTCAAGCCAGCAGCGAGTGATTCACTTTAAATAATTAAACTGAGACGAGTCTTCCGCAGCTACGAAGCGAAGCGGACGTTTCGACCAGCTAATGCTAATGCTAACATCAGCAGTACTGACAGGCAGCGTTAGCAAATCCGAGGGAGCAGCTTGTTTGTTTGTTTGTTTGTTTGTTTGTTGGCAGCAGCGCATGTGTTGCTGACAGTCACAAGGGGCAGTAGATACGGTCCATGAAGAGGAGCTTTTATCTCTTCATAGTTAACAGCTCGTTAAATCCACTTTATAGCTTCTCATGGCTTTTCACTTTAATGTGAACAAACTCCTGTGATGATGATCATTATATCACAACATCTGTGACAGGACAGCTTCAGACCCAGAGGTGTCCACTGGTTTGAGGAGGGGAGGGGAGGGGGGGCAACCCTGATCACGGTTATTAAACATGCTCTTTGATTTTACAACAAGCTGTTTATCAAACATCTTTAAACACTTTGAAGAAGGAAGTGAACAATAATTTAATTTTCTGGTAGTGTTTCTGAACGCTTGTGTCCAAAATATAACAACAAACACTTGGAAACATTTACCTTGCGACAAAACCTACAAACAAAATGAGGGCAACGTTGAGGCGCAATAATCGTTTAATCTGGATCATCTACTGAACTAAATTATTTACCCAGCTCCAAACGACGAGGACACAAAACAAAACATCATGATATGTTTGAGCTGAATGGTGACGCACACTTTAAATCGCTATTTAAATCTCCGTAAACAAAGTTATTTACACATGGGTCAAATGTCACCGAGATTATAATAGATTCAGATTTTTTTTATTCCAGTCACTCCTGTGTTGACGATGGTCTGCAATAGAACTGACAATGTGTTATAATAATAATAATAATATGTTTTTTATAGCGCTTTTCTAGGAACCCAAAGACGCTTTGACAAAATATAAAACCATAAAAACAAAAAACGACGAGGACAGTACAATGAAGAAGTAATGTAGGGGGGAGGAGGCGAGTTAGTGGTTGTAAGCAGTGTTGAAGAGGTGAGTTTTGAGGGATTTCTTGAAGGGGGGTGAGTGTGGGGGAGTCTCTAATGTTTTTTGGGAGTGAGTTCCAGAGGGTGGGAGCTGCGACAGAGAAAGCCCTGTCCCCTCTGGACCGAAGGTTTGTCCTGCAGGGGGGGGGACAGGAGGTTTGCATCTGCAGACCTGAGAGTGCGGGGTGGGAGTGTGTTCGTTTTCTGCCTTCTGAGGCCCTCAAAACTCTTATTGGTGCACAGTCAACATGAACACATTCTTTTTTCTTTTTTTTAATTCCTGCTACAACATAAACATTATCCGCCCTCATATTGGTTATCTGGGAATTTGTCTCATATTCATCTTACAGGTTCAGGTTCCAGCCGTTCCCTCGGTTTTGTGGAGCTGTATTTATTTATATGATGTCATCACAGGACAGTAAAGTTATGTGGTCTTCTTTTTCCAGGTGTTGCCTCCTCCAGCCCCATTGTGGATCTTTAGCCCCTCCGGCAGGACAGTGGCAGAGCCAGAGCCAGACCCATCGGGGACCAGACCAGCAGGCAGCAGGGCTCCATGAGTGCGACGGGGCAGCAGCAAGGGGGGGGGCCTGCGTTCTCGCCGAAGCCTTGGCCGGGAGAAGGAACCCGGGCAGGGCATGGGCATGGAGGCGGCCTGCTGGCTGGCCCCCGGAGTGCTGCGCAGGCTTATCGAGCTGCCCTCACCCCCCCTGTCCCGACACCAGCTCAAGAGACTCGAGGAGCACAGGTAACCAGTGACACCTGCTCCACTGACAGAATGAGTCAAGCTATTCTTCTTCTTCTATTCTCTGTGGAGATATTTAACGTCATCTTGACAGCAAATGAGGAGATTCACTGCATGCCCGTTTTTACAGCAGAAATAAACATGTTTACAGCCTGCTACCAAAAAACAAAATAGTTCTGATATAGGTCTCAGCTCCAGCTCTCAAGCCTGTCGTTAGTTTGACTGAAAGTTAGGCTGAGACAGGATTTCCAACATGGCGGCTGCTGCTGATGAGCCTCCAGAGCCCCTGCAGGAACAGATGGGTGTCGTCACTCAGGCTTCGCCCATTAATATTTACAGACTATAGTTGGAACGACCTCCTTGTATTTTAATGGTGGATGCCTCGACCCTGTAGCTGCTTTAGTGAGCTAACATTAGCTTCTAGCATGTGAGCTAAACGCATCAGGGAAGAGTTTGATTCTTGCCCATGAAGCTGTTTGTTGCCTTCTCCCTCTTACTGATAGCTGCCCGGAGCTGCTCCGCTCAAATCACTGATTCCTGAGGGGGGGAAATCTCACTTAAACACAAGCCAGATAAAGATGCAAATATAGTATGGGCTCAGCAGATTTATCTTGTTCCCCCTCAGGCTACTTTTTTTGGAGCAAAGTCAGTGCGGGAGATGGAGCAAAAATCCATTCTTTGCGCCATCTAAACTCCCTCTGCACACATGTGATGTCTTTCCAGAGCGAGTGGACGGACTGGTTCAGGGTCCTGAGGTCTCACTGTGGGCAACACGTACATCTCTCCTGTCCTCTCCTCACCAGCTTTGTTGTGTCTCTGCAGGTACAGCAGTGCTGGCCGCTCCCTGCTGGAGCCTCTGATGCAGCGCTACTGGGAGTGGTTGGTGGGACGAGTCCCCTCCTGGATCGCCCCAAACCTCATCACCATCATTGGCCTCGCCACCAATGTCTTCACCACCCTCGTGCTCGTCTACTACTGCCCCACTGCCACCGAACAGGTGAGTCACTATCGTGGCAGCGTTTATTAACTACAGCTTTTTTAAATGCTTTTTTGTATATCTTTCTAATGGTCTTTATAGCAACATTATGTAGGAATTTGGTTTGGTGCACTCTAGCGCCCCCCAAAGGTCTCCTAGTGTAACTGCAGTGCTGTTACGCCTTCCCGCCACAGACAGCGTGTATTTGTTGACAAGCAGAGGGATGGCCAAAACAAAGGCACCCTGTCGACTGACAAGGTTCAGTAATATTGCCAGATTTTCTCAAGTCTTCAGCCCAGTGTAGAGACGACTTTTGGTGTAAGATTTGTTTATTTATTTGAATTCAAGCTTGAGGCATAACTTGGGTTAGACGACTTTCTGTTAAAGCTGCTAAACACTGGACAACGATGACACTGATAACAACACAGCTTAACGTTACAGCGCAACCTCCTATGAATAATATCTGCAGGGATTTAGCCTCAGCAGAGACAGGCTAACTGGCTAGCAGCGTTAAGCCGCACACACCATTATGATGAAAGCTAGCTGTGAACCTGCAGTTAGCTTCATGTTTTTGAGTGTTTCTTTGATGTGTGTGTTCCTGCAGGCTCCTCTCTGGGCGTACCTGCTCTGTGCCGTGGGTCTGTTTATCTACCAGTCACTTGATGCCATCGACGGGAAGCAGGCCAGACGCACCAACAGCAGCTCTCCACTGGGGGAGCTGTTTGACCACGGCTGTGACTCCCTCTCCACCGGTCAGTTGTTTTCCTCTTTGGTCTGTGTGTCTCTGTGAATCTGAAGCTCTTTTCATCACAGGCCTCGTGTTCCTCGTGTTTTTCTCTGCAGTGTTTGTGGTGTTGGGAACCAGTATAGCCGTTCAAATGGGAACCAACCCAGACTGGATGTTCTTCTGCTGCTTCGCCGGGATGTTCATGTTCTACTGCGCCCACTGGCAGACATACGTGTCAGGAACTCTGCGCTTCGGCATGTGAGTCAACAACAACACCACCCCCCGCTTTTTTAAGCTAGATATCTTAGGAGTACCGATCCAGTTCTTAGCATGTCTGAGTGACGTTCATTATCCGAAACTTCTAAATACATTTTGTCATAATTAGGGCTGTCAAAACAACGCGTTAGTTTGATGAGAAGTGAATTGTTACTTTCACTCTCTCACTTTTGATAACATGAAAAAAGGAGTCACATTAAAATGTGGACGCTTAAAGGGACAGGCAGCGGAAATTAGCATTTGCTATAAATGCTGTGGAGCAGTGCATTGGTAAAGTGTTGTTCAGTTCTCCGTGTATACTGCATCAATATCTGCCAAATAAACCAGAGAAGAAGAGGATAAAACCAGGTGGAAACAGAGTTATGCAGTAAATCTACCTTTAATGTAATCATTCTCATTTTACCGATATATGCAAATAATTGTTTACAAAGCCTTTAAATAATTAGATTATTTTTTAATTGATTGACAGCACTAGTCATAACATTTTGCCGTATGATTTAACATGAATGCGATCGGTTCAGTGACTCACTTATCAAGATTTCAAACTGGGTGTTGAGTCAACTTTGGAGAGAAGAAGAAATTGCCGGCTCACTCGCTCTGAAGACCAGAGATCTTCTTCAGCTGACGAAGTTTTTGTGGCATTTAAGAACGTGTGCGGGCACATCTTCTTCTCTCTGATGTTTTCATATTACCCTGCACCTACTTGATGTGTGTATGGCCCGCCCTGCTCTCTGTTGAGTAAACCCTCGCCCCCTCCCCTCCCCCCAGCAGCGGTTAGTTTGACAGAGAGCCGGTGGAAATGGTGCACCTTTTCTTCTCTGCTCGCTGCCATTTTAAAAAAGCACAAAAGAAAAGACAAAAACAAGTTCTACGTTCAGACGATGTAGTCAGAACTGTAACCCTGGATGTCCCTGTGACGTGTCCTTAAACACACCTGCAGTTATCACTTCCTGCCATAGGTGGCACCAAAGACAACCAAACAGAACAGAAGTTGCTCTTTGATTTTCACTCATTATGTGAAATTTATTTATAGTATCCAGTGTAGATTTGTGGGTCTTTGTGTTATGATAGGTTGAATGTTGGCCTCAGTAAATGTGGATGTATTCTGTGTGTAGATTTGACATAACAGAGGTGCAGCTCTGTCTAGCAGGATTACAGATGCTCACAGCCTCTGTGGGTCCTTCTCTGTGGAACATGATGGTAAACCTCCTGACTGCTGCTGCCGCTGCCTCTGCATGGCTCGCTGCTGCCTCCTTCCACAATGTCTGAGCAATCAATTTCAGTTCAGCCTGTTCTACTTAAAGCTGTGGTCAGTGACATGCAGCTGGTCAGCCAATCAGAAGCTGCAGCTGGAGGAGATTGATAGTTTGCAAACTGCCTGATCTTGGACAAAACCTTTGACCTTTTTTTATTTGAGTAAATATTTTCTTTTCTTATCAAAACTCTATTTGATCCTGTTTTTGAGGTGTTCAGCATTTTTGCGTCCGTCCCATTGGCTTAATTTTTCAACTTCTTTTATAGAGGTTTAGCTTAGCATAAAGAGTGGGCGTGGATGAAAACAGCTAGCCTGGTTAAAAAAAAAAAACTAAAACACCTCCTATGTTTATTGTTTTACGCATAGTGTGTCTTCTTTATTTCGTCCAAACACAAACGGAAATGTCAAAAGGACGACTTGCGGTTTTTATAGGAACTTATGTTCAGGTGATGCACGCTAGTAGCTGCTTGAAGTCGACAACAAAAAGCCTAAACATTTTCTGAAGTCATTAATAAAAACATTTAGTGACAAGTCCTTTATGTGTAGAAAGAAACCCAGAGACATATTACTCATTCAGCTAATTCCCAGTTAAACCTCCAGCTTTACATTAAATCAGCACAGTGATAAAAACCTGCAGAAGAAGACGTCAGCGTCCCGTCAGCTCGGAATCTTGTGGAAGGAAGGCAGCAGGATGAGTGTGTTCGCTGGTAGATGTCACTAATCCTTACTTGTCAAATCTCTCTGCTCTCTCCTCCCACTCAGCATTGATGTGACTGAGGTGCAAATCTTCATAATAATCATGTATTTGCTGGCCGCCGTGGGAGGATCAGCTTTTTGGCAGTCACTGGTAATTGTGATTGGTTCTAATTCCTACAGATTGAGCTTGAATGTTTGTGTGGTAATTCTGTAATGATGTTGGTATTTAAAGTGCTGCTCTAACCATCTTGTTGACTGTAATTGTAAAAACTAAAATATAAAGAATTTCATTTCGAACACATTTAGGCTCAGTCCCATTTCAACCCTAACCCTTAGACCCTTAGCCACTTAGCCACTTAGCCCCTCGTTTTCGAGTTCCACTTCACCCCTTTGAACAGAGCGTCAAGGGATAGTGGTGAAATCTGGGAGAACCCTTCAAGAGCCTGATGCGTCATCAGTAGTCGTAATGCAATGACGTAAAAGGATGCGACAAAGTTGCTGCTCTTTCTTAAAATGCAGAAAAAACAAACAATTTTGTTCACGCATTTTCTGAAGAAAAGGGCGATCGTACATTGGAACATCATTAAACTAAGATAATGTTAATGTTGTCATAATTTACAGATCTCATAAACAAAGAAAATTCTACAATTCACTTACCGGTAACAGACACTTTCATCCAAAGCGACTTACATCAGAGATTAGGAACAACACAAGCAAGGATCTAGAAAAGAGGAGACATTCTGGGAGATGACTCTGTTTGGAGTGTGTCTCTGATGGATCTCTTTTTAAAGAGCCAAGTAGCCCTAACACTTCACCCTACCCCTAAGGGCTAAGTGGTGAAATGGGACTGAGCCTTACTGTTTTCTATCATTAATTTATGATGCTTTTATTAAGGATGGAAAGCTGAATGTTGTCTGTAAAGTTTCTGTATGATCACATTTTCGGTTGTAGAAATCTGTGTTGTTTTATCTTCCTAACTTTTAGCGTCTTAATGTTTGACTTTTTTAGATTCCGATCCTAAACGTCCAGATGAAAATGGTTCCGGCCATCTGCACTTTTTTAGGAGCCATCTTCTCCTGCACCAATTACTTCAGAGTTATTTTCACAGGAGGTGTGGGCAAAAACGGATCCACAATAGCAGTAAGTGACCTCAGCTCGGTTCACTTTTGATCAACAGTCCCAACTCCAAAATCCTCTCCCTCCACCCTGAACTCAGCTCTGGGCTTTTAAGCACTGAGGCCAGGTGCACCTCACTGAGAAGCTTCACCTGAGCAGAGCTGGAGACAAGAAGAGGGGAACATACAGCCGTAACATCAGATACAAATGTAGGGATGTAACGACAACTCGCGGTGTAATCACAACGATTGCAACCAAGAGGCATCACTCGGAAGTGGCTGCAGATAAACCCAACGTCAGAGGACGATTGGATTGCAATTGTTGACCAAATAAACTGCATGGAGAGACTGATTTTCTCCTTGAGGTTACGATCTGACCAATTTATAAAAAACTGGGAAAAACTGAACAGAACTTTTTTATGTCTGGCCTGTGTAACCGTAAAAAAAACACTCAGTTTAAACCAGCAGAGGGCGCTGTGTGCTGTTTGGCTTCTCTTGTTCGACGTCAGCCGACACTTACCTTAGCTTAATCTTGAAGCTATTTATGTTGTTTTTTCTGCTCTGTGGTCCCTCTGTTACCTTTATCTTCCACCTGTATGTGTTGTATTGCTGTTAAATAGAACAGTTCATTAAATAAAATACATTTTAAAGTAAGCGTGATGCGCTTTAGTAACATTTTGAAATGCTTCAGTCATGACCACCAGCAGATCTGCAGCATGTTTTCCTCTGACGTTTAAACACTGCTGTCTTTGTTCTTGTGTGTCTGTCCTCAGGGAACCAGCGTCCTCTCCCCCGTCTTACATATTGGTTCGGTTATAATTTTGGCGATGATGATTTACAAGAAGTCTGCAGTCCAACTCTTCGAGAAGCATCCGTGTCTTTATATCCTCGCATTTGGCTTCGTCTCGGCCAAAATCACCAATAAATTAGTCGTAAGTCAAACTCCTCTTTAAAGTATGTTTCACATGTTATGCAGAGATAAGAACACAGTGAGTTTGTGTGAAAGTATTCATCTGTGTATTAGCTTTGTACAAATACTGGAACGAGAAGGAGAGGTAAGATTTGGAAAAGGTCAAAGGTCAGATAAGCTCCACCAGAAAGAGAGAAATAAATCTGATTTGTTGCGATCAAAGAAAGTTAGAGGGTCGTGTTTGATGCCGACTGTTTGTGTGTCTTTTGTCCGCAGGTAGCGCATATGACAAAAAGTGAGATGCATCTCCACGATTTAGCCTTCCTGGGACCAGGACTACTGTTCCTGGATCAGTATTTCAATAGTTTTATTGACGAGTACCTGGTGCTATGGATTGCATTGGTAAGATCAAACATCATGTAATGAATGTATTCATGTAGTATCCATGTTTAAAGGTCACATATTCTCCTCCTCTTCATCCAGTTTAAATAAGTCTCAGAGCTCCCCAAAACATGTCTGTGAAGTTTCTTGTTCTAAATCCACTCTGATCCTGTATTTGATCATGTATATAAACCCCTCTATTTCAGCCCTGCTCAGAACAGGCTGTTTCTGTGTCTGTACCTTTAAATATGTAAATGAGCTGTGTCTGACCACGCCCCCTCTCTGGAAGGGCTTGGGTGTACTCGGTCTTTCTCCCTCCATGTCCTATTGTTTACGGTGAGAAGGCAGACTCAGGGAGGGGTTACTGCCCTTTGTGATGTCATGAAGGAAAAATCTCCAAACGGCCTGTTTGAGCACACATTTTCTGAAAAGTGGAGCAGGCTAAAGATGGAGAGGATGGACTTTTCTCATGATTGGGGGGTTTGTAGACAGACTAGAGACACATGTTAGAGTTAGAGAAACATGGTGAGGAGTATTTTGAGTATGTGACCTTAAATAAGAGGTGTTGATATTAGGTCAGTTGTGGATGACAGTTTGTGTAGAAGCACTTCATTTGAAAACATCCACCATCAGCCAGCTCTTGAATATATTGTGCATGAAAAAACAAACTTCCTTTTAACGGAGAGTCCTCGAACACAACTAGATGAGATGTTCAAGTTTACACTCAGAATGGTTGTAGGTTTTATTTTAAGCTTTCCTTCATGTCAAGAGTAAGTCTGAAGGACTCTTTGAGGACTGAGATAACGATAAGCGATCTGTAAATAGACGAGAATTAAATGCAGTGTGTAAATTCTGCCACCAGGGGGCTCTCGATCAAAATGATACCAAAAGATGACGCTGAGCAGGCGTTGCTTCTTTACCCTGTTTTCTTATTTACTGCGCTAAATTCAGACTTTAGTGATGTGTTGAATGTGAACTCATTCTTCTGCCTGTAAAGAGTGACTCTCTCTCTCTCTCTCTCTCTCCGCAGATCATTTCCTTTTTCGACTTGGTGCGTTACTGTGTCAGTGTTTGCAACCAGATTGCCTGCCATCTTCACATTTTCGTTTTCAAAATCAAGCCTTGTTCGGTGCTCAGCTCCGCTCCTCACTGAGGACTTGCCCGGCGGCGGCGGCAGCGGCGGCGGCGGCAACGGCCATTACTGACTCTGTCCCTCCTCCCTGTTAGCCGCACTCATCTTCTCCTCCCGCTGTTTTCCACGTAGAGACGCAGAGGACGGCGACGGCGACGTGGTGTAAAAGTATGTGCTTCTGCCAACTGAATGTGAGGACAAATAATATATACTAAGATACTGGAGTATTACTGTCATTGTTTTCCTTTTTCTTCATCTTCTGCCCGTTATTAAGAATCTTCTGACAGACTGACGGTGACGCACAGAGCGGATGTTTTCAGGAGAGTACGGGTGCTACTCAGTCTGTTCACAGAGGAGTTTTAACTGTCGCAAAGAACATGTATAGGAAACCAATCAAACTCTTTGCTTACATGATTATAATTTTTGTAACATTTGCATAACTTAACCTTTTTGCTATTGTAAATACCAAAACTGTCACTGTGTGTGTGTGTGTGTGTGTGTGTGTGTGTGTGTGTGTGTGTGTGTGTGTGTGTGTTTGTGTTGTGTGTGTGCTTAAAGTTACAAATCCTGCTCGGACACATTTATAAATCTTTTCCTTCATGTTTTTGATTTTTTTTTTTTTTTTTTTTAAACAACTCGAGCACATTTCACTCACTTGTCAGCAGCTTGTGTTTTAGGAGGAAACATGATGTAAACGTTATTTCTTTACATATCTGAATGTTCTCATCGTAAGGAAAAAAGAAAAAGCGGCAGATGTTTTCTCTGCCTGTTACGTTGTTGAGAGTTCTTTTAGGGTTCCTCCAATCTGTTGGGATTGTGTTTATTTATTGTCATATGTGAGTCACATTATGAAATGAGTTTGGTAGGTTGACGCTCAAAGGAGGGTTTGTTGCCTTGACACTTTATTTTATGTAAATAAGACGTGACGTGCACAAAAAAGGAAAAGCATTCTCGCGTTACAAAGTTATGGAAACTCAAAGGTCTGATACGTCTGCTACGGATCAAACGTTCAGAAGTGAGAGCCTTTCTCACATTTTACAGTTACTGAGGAAAATATTGTTTTAAAGTGGAGCAGCTGTGAGTTAGTTAAACTCTCCGTCTGATGTTTTGGTTTCACTTCCTGCTCTCTTTTACTTTACGTCCCTCGTCTTCTCATCGTGTTGTTTTTAGTATTTAGTGTCAATAAATCCCATGAAAATAGAAAGTAGAGCGCTGCAGGAAGAAGAGCAAAGACCCAGAGCTCACATGAACTGATCAGATTAAAGTCTTCTGATTGGATCTTAAAACCAGGATGTTCAAAAGAAGAAAAAGATTAGAAAACTGGATAAGTTCAGGTTATTTAATTTTTTTTCTTGTCTTGATAACACCTCCAGTTTGTGTTAAATTTTGTCGTATGATCTTGATAACTTTGATCCCCCCCCCCCTCAAAGACTCTGAATGATCCTGATCCCAGCAGAGGACTGGATCCAGTCTGGATGACAAAAACAAAACTGAGAATTAAATAAAAATGTTCAAATGGTCAAACAAAAAAGAAACTTTTCTGCAGTGATGTTGATAGTTTAGAAGTTTTTTCCTTGTTTAAGTTGACGTCACATTGGAGGGGGGAGGATAAAACATTTTACTAAGGGGTGCCTGTTGTCTAGTGGTTGGTGTGTCGCCCATGTGCAGGGGCTGTAGTCCTCAGCCGAGCGGCTGCATGTTGTTCGCGACTCTCTCCCTCTGATGTCTGTCTCTGTCCACACTCCTGTCTCAGCACAAAAAGCCCCAAAATACACTTTAAAAAAAACATCATACTAAATAGTGTTCATTTAAAAACATAAAATTTCATTTAAAGCAGCACTGACACCTTCTCAGTTGGTGTGGATTTGGCGCCCTCTGTGGACAAAGTGCAGTATTTCATTCTATTTATTGTTGAGCATTAGACAATCATTAAAAGTCTGTATCTAGATCAGGTGGATCCTGTCCTGGTTTTCTTTGATAAAACCAGACAAAAGTGATCTGGATTACCTGATCCTGATCAGTCAAACAATTTGATATCCAAACCCGGGTCCTTCTCATCCTGATGAAACCTTTTGGCCCTGGAGAAAGTGTTAAGTAAATGTTTTTCCTGAACATGACTGAGATACGTCGAGGCAAGCGTGAAGAAGAAGCGACTAAACGATCGTCACGCTGAACAAATCGTTGTTGAATTTCGACTGACTGCTTTGTAGTTTTCTTATCGTTTTACTAACAGGGATCACGATTCTTTAAAATTAATAGGAGCGATTATCTAAGTATGGTTCTGAACAAAACATTTGAGTATCACAAAGATCAGGTTTTATTCCGAACAGGATGGAGAAGTACAGTTGTTTTGTGTTTTCATGGGATTTATTGACATTTAAAACCTTAAAAACAAACCTGTAACTGTTGTCTGTCTAAACATCTCAAGCCTTCCTCCTGAACAAACTCACTTCATAAAAGTTGATGTTAGGGTGCCGGTAACCTAGTGGTTAGTGCGCGTGCCCCACGTACAGAGGCTGTAGTCCTCCAAGCGGGTGGCCCAGGTTCAAATCCGACCTGTGGCTCCTTTCCCCTCGCTCTCTCTTCCTGATTTCCCGCTCTTATTTACACTCCTATCTCTGAAAAGACAAAAAAGTCATCTTTAAAAAAAGCTAATGTTTAATCTGCTTGACATTGTGTTTCCTCTCAATCACACCTGCTGATGGAGAACAGGTGCACATAGACTGAATGTGTAGGAGATGAGGTCACCGTGATGACATCACAGTTTCTGAGGGAGGGTTGCTGACGGAACATAAAAACATGTTCGTTTGGCGTCGCTGCTTTTCTGATACAGTCGCACGCCTCACGTGCTTAATGTTGCTGTTGCTGCTGCTGCTGCTGGAGAGACTCCACAGCGAGGGGGGCGGTTTGCTAAGAAGAACATAATGCTCGTTCTTAACGACAGAGTTAAGGTTTTTGTTTTCGCATATTGTTCCTGTTTGATGAGTTTATGTTTTGTCACGTGCACACCGGGTACTGAGCAGCTAGAGTTTGTGTGAAAATATTGGTGAAAAAAAACAAAAAAAACTCAACGCCGAGAGCAGACTAATGTGAGACTGACCAGATGTGTTCAGGTGCAGGCTGCTTTTGTCGTAAACCGCAGTGATCTGAAAGCAGCTGTTCCCATCTACATACCCCCCCGCCCCCGCCCAGTGTTAAAGGGTTGTTTCCACAATTCACACAAACATCGTCCTCAAATGCCTTGGGGTTGAATTATTATAACGTATTAGAAAATAATCAAAATGTTACACAGTATATAAAATAAAGATGTAATAACCTGAGAAGAAAAAGTTGTATTTCATGTAACTGTTATAGAGTTTAAAAAGTCATATCCCATATTAAGTTTGATTTCACAATAAAACGCTGACAGAAGGTAACATGAACTGGCCGTCGATATTTTAAAAGATGTAATATATTGATCATTAAAGTGATACTTTGTGGTGAAAAAAACAGACGTGATAGTTTGACTAAAGCGTTTAAATTATTCAGACTTTATTAGATTAAATTTATTACAAGAAAACATTTGAAATGTCTAGAGGGAAAGTTAGATATATTTTAAAATATAATTAGAAAAAAGTTTTATTACAAACCCAACGGTGAATAAATGATTGTGTGTAAAAACCTACAGGACAAAATTGTGAGAACAATTAAGAGTTAAAAGTCAATTGCATGTTTCAAAAACAAAATTATTTTTTTTAAAGGTCACATATTATTCAAAATACACTTCACCATGTTTCTCTAACTCTAACATGTGTCTCTAGTCTGAGAATGATGAGAAAAGTCCATCCCTCGTCTTTTGCCTGCTCCACTTTTCAGAAAATGTGTGCTCAAACAGGCCGTTTGGAGATTTTCCCTTCATGACATCACAAAGGGCAGTAACCCCTCCCCCAGGTGGGTGACACTTCCACAGCTAGGTGTTTGTTCTGCCCTCTGAGTCTGCCTTCTCACCATAAACAATAGGACATGGAGCGAGAAAGCCAGAGACACCCAAGCCCTTCCAGAGAGGGGGGGGCGTGGTCAGACACCGCTCATTTACATTTAAAGGTACAGATACAGAAACAGACTGTTCTGAGCAGGGCTGAAATAGAGGGGTTTATAGACATGATGAAATACAGAATCAGAGAGGATTTAGAACAAGAAACTTCACACACATGTTTTGAGGAGCTCTGAGACTTATTTACACTGTTTGAAGAGAAGGAGAATATGTGACCTTTAATAATAAAAATACTGGGATTGAAAGATGAGGAAAAGCTGATCTGTTAAGTGGATCGAGTTTTAACCTTTGTGAGCTTTTATTAGCCAGAACAAAGCGGGGGATTTTCAGGATTTTGTGGCAATAAATAATCAATAAAATGTAAAACTCTGAACGATTTAATCCGCCTTTGTTTTAGTTTAAAAAAAAAAAAACTCCTTGAGAATCATGTGAACGACCGTTTAAAGGATCTCAGTGTTTATGTCCCTAAAGGTCCGATTTGTGTTAACAGATGACTTTGGCGTTCATTATGTGGTACAAAATATCTACAGTTATTCCTATGTCACATTTTATTATTTATCTTTAATTTTTTTTAACTCAGTAAAAGTATGTCTTTTGACTTTTGTTGTTTTTTTGGAGGTGAAGCCCTAACTTGCATGTGTACCATGCTGCTGTACAGTTTGTATTAAAGCAGGAGATTTCTTATGTTTAACCCTCAACTCAACAACTTCTCAAAGAAGAAAAAAAAAAAAAATAAGAAAAAACTGTGATACAACTTTAACGGCTCATTAGTAACTGATCGTACTCGCGTTCTTAGTAAAAGTTTGCCTTAAAATCAATTAGCTTAGTTTTTGTTTTGTACAGAGAAGAGCATGTTGTCATTGTGTGTGTCTCTGCCGTCTTTGTATAAAAGTTTGTTTTCTGTTGGCCAGACTGCCCAGCTCAGGTATATCACCAGTGTGCAGGACAGACAAGTGTGTAAGAAGAGGACATTAACGAGATCACCTGAAAATCTCTCCTTCACCTTCAAATGCAAATAAATTTCATACTACCACCTGGAACGAGGCTCTGCTTGTGTTTTTAATGGAAACTGTCAACCAGAGGGATTTATTTCCTCGTCAATGAAGAAGTGGTAAACTGTATAGCTTTTTCTAGTCTTCTGCCTACTCAAAGCGCTTTTACACCGCAGGTAACACCCATTGATTCATCGACCAAACATTGTGAGAAATTCTGTTTATTTGATGGATTGCCCCTTGAGATGAACCATCTCGTTTTCGAGGGGGTCCAACACAGAAACAAAAACACAACAGTACAGTGTGATACAGACAGTCAAGCACAAAATACACACATAAACATAAAGGCTCTCGAACACCCATCCGCCCTCGTATCCCTCCCGCAAAGCCACAGCACCCACACAAAGTCATCAGAGGTAGACGCACATAGTGACATATGCAATCAAGATATTAGAGGGGTAAGAAGACATTACCATTAGAAGCAGCAGCATGGTTTTGTGAGAAAAGGTAGCAGTGATTTCTTAAAAATGTGTAGTGAATTTATTGTTCTGTTATGTTTATAGGTAGATTGTTCCAGTCAGAGGGAGGGAACATTGTAAATATACAAACGTACTAATACAAACATAAAATCTTGAGATGAATAGGAGCAGAAAGAAGAATAATCTTATAGAATCTGCCCCTCTTTCACAAGGCATTTAATTTATAAAAACGTAAATTCGGTGTAAGACACGTTCACCCTTGTTGCAGCCGGAGGTCACCTGCAGTTCCCGTTGAGGTCAAACTTAACCCTCCTCCGCACGCGCTGTCCTGCGAGGCAACACTTAGGGGAAAATTGCCCCCTCCACCATATTTATTTTTTGTTGTTGGCTTGCGCATGCGCGTTTCCGCTTTGACGGAACCACGGAACTACCTCAGCTGCTCCGAGAAGCCAACTTTGAAACTTCGCTTTTAAATGGAAGTGCGGCAAACAACGACAGCAGCTTCCGGCAGCAGGACACCGAGGACAGTCGACATTTGAAGGCGCTGTTGATCACCCAGCAGGATTTTAAATCTGACTGAAGATTGGAGGACGAGTGTAACGTGAGTTTCATTAAGGTGAATTAAAACGGGATTCACGTGACGTCTGACCTCAGACCAGCAGCTTCATACAAATGTTTAGATATTTATTAACATTGCTCGTTAAAAGTAATAATGTTTAGCAACCTGAGCTAGCTACCTGCTAGCTAAAAATCTTATTATCTGTGTGTTTAATAAACATTTCAGTTCACTTTGTTCAACCACGTCGGTGGATGTTAGTTCATGTTGGTGTTTGATGTTTGCTGGTTTATTCAGCTCGTTTTAAAACCATCTGTTGGCTCTACTGGACTTTAGTTTCTAATCATCTAAGAATAAACTCGGTTAAATTTACACATGTTGGTTGTTGTGTCTGTTTCACTTCCTCCCTGAGATCATGAGGACTGAATCTGACCTGCTCGACTGAATCTTAACATTGTTAAAACTCTCTGTTTTGTTCCCGAGAGGAGACTCTTTGTTTGTTCCGCTCAGATTTGTTGTTTCTCAGATTGTCGAATAAACTACGGATGAGGATTAGGGCCATGCAAGAGACATTTATAATGACAGGAGGAAGATTTTTTTCATTATGCAGCTTGAGAAGAAAACTAAAAAGAAATGTCGAGAATAAATTAAAATTTGTCTGGAAGACAAAAGTGGAAATTATAGAGAAGAAATTCATAATGTCAGTAAAAATGTTTGAGAATAGTATTTTCTTGAATAAATTAAAATTGTCAAGAAGAAAGTCGAGTTTGTGGGGAAGACAAAAGTCGAAATGTTTGGAAGAAGAAAAGTCAAATTTGTTGGAAAGAAGAAAAGTCAAACTAAGTGTCCAAATGTTTGTTAGAAAGTCCAAATGTCAAGAACAAAGTGGAATTTCTTGGAAAGAAGGCAGAAATATCATGAAGACAAAATTTCTAAATGATGAAGATAGTTGAGAGAAAAGTCGAATAGTCGATAAGAAAGTCGATATGTTAAGGATTAAAAAAAAGAAATACAATTTGGAGAATAAATATCGAAACATCACAAAATTTTAGCCGCTCCAATCACAATCAACACACAACATAAAAAAAACAGGACGAAGAATGTTTAGGCAAATAAAACAAACATCAAACATACTAAAATCTGTTTTTAACAAACAACGACAAAAGACATCAGAGAAATGTGATAAACATTCAGTGTGTGAACGTTTGGTGAAGTGTAAAGAATTTAAAAACCCCAATAATAATAAAATAAGATCTACTTTATTGTCTTCAAATTGAAATGTGTCTAGGACTTTGTCCCCTACACAAGAGAAATAGAAAGTAAATAAATAGATCATAGTTCAACACTTTGCTACAGTAATGACATGTTGACATGTTGCACGGCCCTTTGGCACATCATCCATTACCTCAGAATATTATTATTATACAGTTATATATATATATTTCTGTATATCCATCTTTTTTCTCGCAGTGCATAATGGATACAAACATCTTCCTCCTGTGATTATTAATTCTCATGTCTGGCTCTGATTCTGAAACAAGAAATGTCCCAGTCATAGGAGTCTTAGGCCCCGTGTCCACTGAACATTTTTTCCGGGCAGAAAAGCGGAAAAGCGGAAAAGCGCTGGCTGTGCGCTCGGGAGATTCTTTATGAAGTATTTGAAGAGAAGAAGAAAAGCGCTGCACGTCCATCCTGTCTCTATGACAACAGTCTGTTGACAACGGCCGCTGTATGACCGACACGGCTTCGTTTCTTTTTTTTATTGTTTTTTTATTTTAAATTGTTTATTTCCCGAGGATGTGGGTACAAGACACGACCTGTAGGCGGTAAAACTACGGGGAATATCAGACGTTTAAAAAAAGAGCGCAGCTGACGCCAACAGCGCCTTTCTCAAAAGTTAAAAGATTTTCATCATGAGCGCTCTGAAAAAAAAGAACCTGGCTGCTGCGCTTTTAGTCAGTGCGGCTGCTTTCTGCTGAGCGCTCTCTCCTCATTGAAAACAACTGAAAAAAGACGCTGGCGCTCAGAAAACAACGCCAGGTGGACACGGAGCCTCAGACTTCTATGTTTGTTGAAGTTTGATATTGTTTGATTTTTACGAAGCATCATGTCGACCCTTGTGTCTCTATTCGGTCGTGTTTTATTCTTTTTACTCTTTTGTAAAGGAAACATAAATACGCTTTTCTTCCTGCATGAAATCCACATTCCAGCGAGCTTTAAACTTCCACTCAAACGGTAATTACCCCCCGATAAGTTTATTAAAAGTCACGCACAAATTATCAAATCAAATTAGAGAGAAATTACTGTTTACGACCTCGCTCCCTCCAGCTCAGTCCGCGTGCCTCCTAAAGGAATTATGGATTTACCGACATGAACTACAATCAAGAGACTGTTGTTTAATCAGAACCTGAAACTGAACTAAAAAAGACGTAAACATTTTAGTTTACAATCCCAGAACAAGCTTCATTTTAGAGCAGGAGCTGATAATCACATCTGTGTGTGTTTTGTTTTAGTGCAGAGTGAAGCAGGAGGACACACACACACACACACACACACACACACACACACACACTAAGGGGGGAGGAGCCATGTGGTGGTTCCAGCAGGGTCTGTGTATCCTGCCCGTCGCGCTGGTCATCTGGACGGCGGCGTCCTTCATCTTTGCGTACATCACAGCCGTGGTGCTGAGACACGTGGATCCTCTGGTTCCTTACATCAGGTTAGTTAGAGGTCAGAGGTCAGAGTCTGAACTCTCAAACACACACTTATTTTAATAACCAGTTTAATGTACAAAACAGAAATGAATGAATTTAAAATTTAAGCTGAATGTGTGGCTGCAACAGATAGTTTATGATTTTTCTGTACGGACACATAAACAAATATATCCTCATTTTTTAAAATTATTTTTTTTGTTTACAAAAACCTTTTTATTTTAACAAAACAAAAACAAAGATTCTAATAGTTTGTTTTTGTGTGTTTGCAGTGACACGGGAACGATGCCACCAGAGAGATGTGTGTTTGGCATCATGCTAGATGTCTCAGCTTTTTTAGGTAACACACACACACACAGACAAATACAGATACACACACACACACACAAAGATACACAGACAGAAAGATGTTAAGATTGATGGGTTGGTGTGCGTGCGTGTGTGTGTGCGTGCGTGTGTGTAGGTATGGCCACAGTGTACGTGCGTTACAAACAGGTGGAAGCTCTGATCGGTGAGGACGAGCTCAAACTGAAGAGACTGAACCGCTTCGGGCTGCTGCTCGGCTGGATCAGCTCCTTCGGGATGTGCGTGGTCGCAAACTTCCAGGTGGGCGAGCGCTGCCGGTATCAGATCAGATCACACCTGTACACTATGAATGTGTCATCAGTGAATGTGTGTGTGTGTGTGTGTGTGTGTGTCAGAGCAGAAGACCACACTGTTCTCCATGCACCTGGTGGGGGCGGTGCTGACCTTCGGAGTGGGGGCTCTCTACATCTTCGTCCAGACGCTGCTGTCGCTCTACATGCAGCCTCGAGTCCACAGCAAGACCACCTACCTGATCCGCCTCAGCATCGGACTGTGGACGCTGAGCAGCATCATCAGCAGTATCCTCTGACATCATGACAGGTGGACACCTGAGAAGTAAACCCAGAGTGTCTCATAAAAGAGTGGGTTTCAGCTGCACAGGAACAAGTCTGCCATCAGCAGATCTTCATTTCTAATAAGATAGTTTGTAAAATATGAGTTAAGCCTGGCTCACACTGTGCGATTTTTCCCCGATTGTATAAAAGTCGGGGTGGCATGTCAGCTCACACTGTACGACTGAATCGTTTACGACGCCCCATCAGACCTTGAGATTGACATGCTCATACTGTACGAGGAAATCGGGACGGAGCGTTGACAATTGTTAATAGTAATAATAAGTTTCATTTGAAAACTCCAAAGGACGTCGGTTGGTGAAAGAGAAGGAAGTGGAAGTTGTTGTAGGATATAGAAAAGTAGATACAATCGTAGATATATGGATACAAGTTTCAGAAAAGTGCCGCACTGATGATCCGTACCGAAAACTCCAAACTCCGCTGGTCGCCATGACTACAGTCCTCCCTTCTCTATCGTGATTATACTGTAGTTGCACAACTTCTGCCGGACCCTTCCATGACGTAATCGTCAAGATTTTTAAATCATAAATATCAAACATGTTTGAAATAAATCGGGGCGTCGCTGACGATCGGAGAGCAGATCGGCGACGTTAAGATTGGATCTTTGTACCGCTCACACTACAAGATAATCGGGTCCCAGCAGCCTTGAGTCGGGAGCGACCCTGCGATTGTCGGGAAGGAAGTATCGGAGCTCAAATCGGCTCGATTATCCTGCAGTGTGAACCAGGCTTTAGGTGCAGGACACTGTTCATGCAGCATGATAACACAAAACAAATGCATAAAAAGTCATTACGACACAATGCACATTATTGTGTCCTTGGGGTGATTAGTCTTGGACTCACAGGGGAGGTGATCCTTAACCCCTCGTCAGTGTTTGTATCGTCAGTCATCATGTACAGCAGTCTGCGGGGAGTGGACGTTCCCCAAAAAATGCACTGGACTCCTGGAGAGACGGTCAGTAGCTCAGAAATATGAGCGTGATCTAAACTTCTTCACCAACGTATTCTCATTAGAATAAACACACGATCGTCTGCGTCATCTGGGTTTGTTTTTGTTCTGTTTCAGGGCTACACTGCCCACCTCATCAGCACCGTGTCTGAGTGGTCTCTGGCGTTCTCCTTCATCATGTTCTTCCTCACCTACATCAGAGACTTCCAGGTAATCCGTTTCATCGTTTTTTGCACATGCAGCTTCTGCTTTTTGATTTTAGTAACACCTGTCTTGTTTAGAGATTTTTAGGGCCGATGGGAATATTGATATTAGGGAAGAAAAAAATCTAATACCGATATATTGGCCAATATCTTTCACAATGTTTGATCTTCAGAGGTTGATATATACACAACTAATGCAGTTATCAAACACTATATAATGAAGACAAGATGGTTACTCAACTGGAAAGTAACTGTGCATATACATGCCTCACCGCTCCACACTCTAAAGGGTAATAATCCATGCTGTAATCAATATAGCGCCCTCTGCTGGAGACAGCCAGAACATGTCTACTTTTTTTTTTGTTTTACTGAATATCACCAGGCGATAACTTGTCTTATCATCGACAGACAATAGTCTGTGTAATAAAGGTTGATTAGTACTTCTGGCCTGCATCCTGCATGCAGCAACATGTCCTCACTTTAGTCTTCTTCTTTCTTTCTCTCTGCAGAAAATTGACCTGCGAGCAGAAGCAGTTTTGCATAGCAGCCACCTGTACGACCTGCCGCCCGGAAACAAACGTGACTCCGCCTCCGAGTCGTCTTCACTGCTGGGAGGAGGGACGTGACGAGCAGAAGATGTCTTCTTCTTCTTTTTTTAAATGCTGACGATTACCCTTTTTTAAAAATCAATTTTAAAGCTTTTATAGAAAACGCTCTTAAAGCTGGTGCTAACCGCTCTTATAGGGCCAGTACACCTCAATGTTTTCTCTCTTCCAACCTTTCCAGTTTTGTGTTTATTCATACGAGTTTGGAGACGTCTGCCTCCATGTGGAAATTAAATTCAGTTTGAGCTGCTTTCAACGTCATTCAAACACAATATTTATATCCGTCTCATGTCAGTTGTGATGGAGACAGAAAAGTTTAAACCTGTACAAATAAACACAAAACTGGACGAAGAGATTTTGTCGTATTCTTTTGAGTGAACTGGCCCTTTAAATTCAAATACCAAGCACTTTTCCCTCAAACAGTATCACTCCCTCTCAGCGCTGCATTTCACTAAATTCATACTTGAGATTCAATTTTAAAGTCTTAACTGTGTTTCACTCTGTTTGTATCCGCTTCTCCTGAAATGTTAATGAAGTCCATAAAGGGTCACATGTTAGAAAATTAAAAACTGATTGATATTAAAATCAGATTAAGTGTTAATAACAAAGAACATTTGCTGGAGAGTTGAGGAATCAGTCTATGCACTGAAACACTTGAGTTTAATATTCTTACTGTACTGACATCATCTGTACATAAATCATGTTATGACTAATAATAAAACATTTCCTTTTTATTTAGCCGGGGCTTACTTTTGTCTTTAGATGAGTTACATTAAAAGTGCTTTATCTCCCAATTAAAGGAAGAATGTGCGACTTTTTGATCCAGTAGATGTCGTCCTTTAGCACCAAAAAAAAAAAAAAGTGTTTTGGTGACACCTCCGCTTTCCTCAAGCAACACACCTCCAACCCTTGGGCCATTGGCTTTGGCTCGAGCTGCCTGTGGCCTGCATTGTTGTGTTAGCATGCTAATGTTAGCATGTCAATTTACAAAGAATGACCCTGATCTAAGAACGCTTAAGTGACATTCAAATAATCAGTGAGTATGTTCTTCTCCCTCGTCCTTGACTAAAACAGCTTTTATACACAAGGGGAGGAGCCAGCCGTCCCGTCCATGTAAACACAGCTCTCACAACAACACAGCTGGTGGGACTCGAGCTTCTCACTCATTGTAGACAGTCATGACTCAGACACATTTACACAGGATAAGCTCGATTTCTGATTTATTTATGTTTAAAATGTCGCAGGATGAATGATTGTCTACAATGAGTGAGAAGCATGAGTCAGGCTGGCTGTGTTGTTGTCAGAGCTGTATTTTCATCATGTTTACATGGCCGGCTCATCCCGCTACCATCAGCCTGCTCACGCAACAATGTGGCTCAAGACGAGGAGAACGGGAGGGGAGAGAGGTTGGAGGTGTGTTGCTGGAGGCTTCAGAATAGGGGAGGTGTCACCAAACAGAAGTTTTTTTTTGGTTTCATGCTCAAGGGTGACATCTACTGGATCAAAAAGTTACACATTCTTCTCTAAGTAAAAAACTTTGATCATTTGTGTTCATACCTCTTCAAAACATAACAACAATCCCAAACATTTGGAAGCAAATGCATGACAGCATTTAATTTCCTCATGAACCCATCAAGTCTATGCAACGCGTCCACTTTACAAGACAACACCCGCTATCTTTTTGTTCGAGCGTCCCGACTGCTGATGTTTGTAGTTTAGGGATTTTTTTTTTTGGGACGCTTAAACAAAAAGATGTAGATCATCTTTAAATCAGAGAAACTTTGGCAAACGTATTCAATATAATTCTCTACAGACCCACAAAATCAACCCTCGACTGCTTCACAGAGAATTAATCTGTACAGGAAATGACAGCTCATCCAAGAATAATAATATTACAACACATTATTATTATTATTATTATTATTAAAATTCATGGCTTGAACATATATACATACAATCATAACAATAAATAAAGACACTGAAATGAGAGAAGCAGCTTTGTCATTAGATCAGTTAAAGAACAATAAAGGAAACATCGGATGAACATGAAGGATGAAAAATAAAGTCAGATGTTTGCTGATGCTGGTGGTTAAAGGCTCAGTTCACCCGAAAAACAAAAAAATACAAATTCTCTTTGAAGGATTTATCTGATCTTTTCAGTCACATCGTTTTAGTTTAACATGTGGAGGTTTTACGATTTTAGCCTCAGAGATTTTTGCCCCCGACGTCGATAAGATAGTTGTAATAAAATGAACTCGTATCAACAAGCCTTTATCGATTAACCCTTAATTATCCACAGAAAACGCTGAGTATGTTTAATGTGGGTTGAGTTTTGAGTGAACTGGACCTTGAACATAAAGATGAAGAGCAGGAAATGTAGAAGCAGCAGGTAGCAACAATCAGGAAGTCCCATTGAACAGAGAGTTCCCCGGATGCACTGCAAACAGGAAGTATGCTCACTGAAAGCTGCAGGTCTTTACACAGCTGAAGATATTAATCAACCGTTTACTCAATATTTGCTCAATTTCTGCAAATGTCAGACCATTTCGATACCTGTTTCGACACCGCAATGGCAAAAATCAAAGTCCTAGTTCCCCAATTTGCGGTTTCTCGTTACCAAAAATAGCAGGCGAACTCCTGCACACGGTTTAAATTGTACCAATAAATAGCCAGTGTATTTGTGCGACTCAGACAGTGACCTGTTTGTGTAAGTTTGGGTGCTTTTTGATACTACTGATCATGAAAATAGAGATCATTTTTAAACATGTGGTATTGAAAAGTGTTAAAGTATGGATACAGTGTTGTAGTGAGTGTCGCCAGTCTGAGTATCGATGACAAGCTAACAAAAGAGTGATGTAATGATGTGGAATCTGTTTGTGCATCAACAACACAGACTACGATTGATCGACGTCTACTCTGTCACATCTTTTAATCTCTGACTGACTGATAACCGAGGGAGCCAGAGGATGAACTCTAGAGATGTTCAAGGTTAGTCGGATTAATGATTTAATCTAAACATGGCCACTAGTCAGTTAAACTATTTATTATATCTTTTATAAGTGTAGGCGCACAATGCTGGTTAAATGTTGTGTCTAAGCTGTAATGCTGTCTCCCACCACTAGATGGGGCTGTAGCTCCAGTTAAAGGGCCTGCTCTCCCTGCTCTACTGCCCGGATGTAAACCAGCACAGTGAACGGATGGAATCTCGTAGGAGCAGGGCAGGAAAAACTGTCATTTAAAACCCTCAACCGGAGCGATGTGTAACCATATTTAGCACAGGCGTGTAGACGTTAACATGCAAGGAGGACCGGAGGCTGGCGGTGCTAGCACTGCTAATGTTAGCCACACTCATTTGAACACAGAGTAATACACATTACAACGTTTCGGTGTGATTTTAATCAGCCGTCAATTTTTTCAAATAGCGATTTGTCACAGTATGATTTTGGCCAGTGTTAAGCCGTGTTAAATAAATAATGTGTGAGACTATTCGACTAGTCTGAATTTAATCTGTTTAATCCGAGAAATTATTCTAAAGAAACATCCCTCATGAACCCAACATCAGAACGAATCAAAAATGATTCATGAGTCTAAAAGAAAATCAGCAGTGATTCACAACCTTCTGAAAGAGAAACAGTCTACATATATATATATATATATATATATTTTAATTGCTTAAATCCGCTTGCTATGGCACGAGCACAGAACATCCCGAGCATGTGAACACTGCAGAGTTTAAAGCCAGGTGATGCTTGGATGAAGACAAAGTGGAAAAAGTTCCTCACACTTCCACCCTTCAAACCTGCAGATTTCCTTTTGTCCAAACTGTGTGAAGAGGTTTCCACTTCTCAGATAGTTCTCGTTTATCAGACGGGGTTATAAGGCATCTGTGGGCGGGGCCACAAAACGAGCAACTAGCTCTGACAAACGCCGCAGCAGGAAGTCACACATTTAGTCAGACCTCAGTCCTGAACTCTGTCGTCCTTCACTTGGCTGCACCTGAAGGTTTAAAAGGCTGAGCCGTCACAGATGATGTTCTGACCGCGGCCGGGGAACAGCTCCATCTGCCAGTAGCGAGGGTCAGCGTACACTGCGGAGGGCAAAAATCAAAAGGAAACAATGTCACCCACATGCACAAAACACAGCCTACAAATTCACCAACATTTTCTGGCTGAGCCGCATGTAGGGACGCAAAAGGCTGACATTTTCGACCTGACTTTGCCAGCCTCCTCTTCTTCTCACTTCTGCTTGAAGTCGTGGTGAGCCGACGTGTAAACGCAGATAAGAATATTCAGGTAAATTTGAACACTGTCTGCTTTGTGTGAAGCCTGAAAGAGAAACTATTCTGCTAGAAATGCTGCTGTGAATTTAATCTGTGGTTTCAGATCACAGAGTATTCACATTCATCAGCTGATTGGTCTCGTTTACTTCAATTATTAAGAAAAAAAAACAATAATTGGAGAAAGTTTTCACTCAAACTTTATCCGGAGGTTCTCCTGCCAGACCACCGAGTATTTTTTCTGCATCAAGTCCGAGTGAGCTGATGTGAGAACACAGCAGGATTATTACCCGGATAATTTACCTCGAGCGAGTTTGGGAGGAGTTATCTGTGAGAATCATTCATTTGACATGCCATAGACTGAAACAAAAAGGTGCACAGAAGATCCTTAAAAAATATAAATATAAAAAAAAAAGTCTGTTTACCAAAATAATTGCCCCCAATAACTGATTTTCTGTAAATAGTCAATTCTATCAATATCGTCTAAAGTCGTCATTTTGTCTCTTTAGCTGTGTTTGTGGATATAAAAAAACAGGAGTTGCAGGAGTTACCCATGTCTCCAGGTGTCAGCCACAGGTTGAAGGAGCTGCAGTGTTTCTGACAGCGATGAACGGGAAGAACTCGAACTGTGGGCAACCCCTCACCCACCACCAGCCAGCCAAACACGCCAACGCCCTGCAACACAACAAAACAAAGACACAGAGGCAGAAGACTGAGGAGGACGGCTGCAGGAGAACACTGAGAGTCAAGACTCTGCTGCAGAACAAGCTGACAGCGTCACATACTTGAAGCACACTTTTCTATGAACCTTCACTTTCAGCTTTATTTTCAAGCAGACGTTTGGAAAAGTGTAGAATGTGATCTTTGAAGGTAGGAGCAGGTGTCTCCAGTCTTTCAGTGGAGGACAGTCTGGACCTGTGGACTCACCTTGCTCTGGGAGTTTGTGCTGTGTGTGACCAGGCAGCGCTGCACGATGGTTCCAGCACTGTCCAGCAGGGGGCAGAGCTCAGCCTTTGGGAAGAGCCACCTCAATACCTTCTCCCTGGTCCCAGAGCTGAACCGCCTACACAAGCAACATCACATAACACACAATAAACACACACAACCAGTCGTTAACCCGAATCATTCAATGCTACATGCAAGTGTCAACGTGGTGCATGAACTGAGGTATTATTAGGGATGTAATGACCTTAAAACCAGAAACCAGAAATCTGTAAACAGAACAGAAACGTGTACCAGAAGAGGGTGAAGTTGGCGGGTCCTTGTGGGAGGCCGAGGTTGAGGTTCTGCAGCCCGTCGTCCTCCTCCAGTAGAACAGACATGGAGCCTGAATGAGCCAAATAGAGCTCCTCCAGCTGCTGCCGCTGGACACTGAGGGCCTCCCCGCCCTGCAGACGCCCGAGTCAACAACCAGAGAGCCGTATGAATAACCAGCAAACAGTCACAACATTACTGTTCCATTCATAAGCAATGTTTTATGTTTTAAGGTTGATATTTATCAAACATTACTCCTTGTATTCATGTCATTTTTTATAAGCAAGCCTGCTCTGACACTGAACTAGATTTGGATTTAATTGTTAGTAAAGTTTGTAAACATTGGGCACACACGACTGTTTTGATTGCTCACCTTCAGCAGGACGAGTTGTGGCCCTCGTCTCAGAGTCACGGTCCCTCTGAGGCTCTCTGGGACCTGCATCACCGAGGAGATCTCTGCACAGCCCGAACAGTTCACCAGATTCTGCCTGAGAGAGCCGACGCTCCACCATTCATGAAAACCTGCCGCGCACACAGACACACAATCAAACACACACACTTACCATGAAACTACAGTTCAAATATATCCACTTTTCCACCGAAATGCTGGACAGGTGGAGATCACTTCCTTGATCGCTACATCCCAGCTTTTACCCGCTGCTGTGCCATGGCTTAGCCAGGCGTTTAACACTGACCCCTCGTCTGCACGTAAACTATGTTTTTAGATTATTATGGGTTCAGTACACAATTTTCTGAGTCAAAAATTTGAGATTTAATTGCTACTAGATTTAACTATGTACTGTTTTAAAAGTTTTCTCAAAGTTTACTGGGAAAAAAATACCAATGTATATCAGTAACAAGTTATTTTAGGAAACTGTTTTTTCTGAATGCATGTCTCTTTAATTCAAGGCGGAAAGCGACAGGAAGAAAACAAAAGACAGAGAGAGTAATCCTGTTTCAGACCTTGCAGATTGTACTTCTTGGCGATGGGGAGGGACAGCAGTCGGACGTGACTGAGGGGGGACGACCAGTTATAGCAGCCCAGGTGGACCAGACCCAGCTGGGGGGTGCTCTGGGGGTACGTGAAGGCCAGCACCACAATCAGCAGGAAACCCACAGCAACCACAAACTGCAGACGTAACAGGGACATTGTTACCAACAGAGAGACTCCTCCGAACACACAATGCATAAATCAAACTTTGTAATAATTATTATCTACAACAGACGGCGATAAAACCATCTTTGTTTTCTGTCTTCTTTACAAATTATTAAATCTCTTAAAAAAACACGCTGAAGCTGAAAACATCCTTCACGTCCACATCGTCTGATCAGGTCTTCATTTTTTTTTTTAGCCTTACAGTCTGAGACCTTTCAAAACTATTTACGTTGTTAAAAATAACCTGTTCTGTGTCTCTGCTGATCTGCAGTGTGCAAATAGTGATTCAAAGAAAGACTTTTTAATCAAAAAGAATTCATATAATTTTTGTGCCGCGTAGCGTAAGTGCTTTTTACCAACGTTACAGCTTCGATTCCCCACGTCCAAAGTTGAAATCTTTTTTGCATATCTTGCTGCTCGCCTCATAACCTGAGTGTTTTTATCTTGAAGCCAAATTGACTCTAACTTGCATTTCCACATCTTCTCCCTCTCTTTTTTTATTCAGAGTTTGTGAATGTGTCCGTAAAGCTGCCATAAGTGCTTTGAATTGTCACCATAGTCTGTAAATACTATGGTGTGTCTGTAAATATGGATGAAGCCTGAGTGACGTCAGCCATCTGTTCCTTCAGGGGGCTCCGGAGGCTCATCGCCATTTTTACTTTTGAAGACATTTTGTAACTAAAAGTTTTCAAATCTGATTAGAGACTTGTTAAGCATTTGCAGGAGCTCTGATACAGGCCTTCAGTGATACAATGATCCAAGTATCGTCTTCAGAGTCTGGCAGAATAATGACCTCTGACCTTTATGGTGGCTCTTATGATGGGGAACTGCGGCGGCTCTCTCCTGGGCTCGTTGGTCTCCAGGACCTGCTTGATGAACCTCTCGATCTCCCGCTCCGACATGCCGTAGCGGTAGCCCGACTGTCGGAGGATGTCGATGCTCTCCGACAGTTTGTCGTAGATACACGGCTCACTCATCGACGTTCCCATGACGACAGCGGAGGTGACGTTCTTTCAAACGGGTCGATCTACAGCTGTGGCAGGCACCAGGAACATAATGTCCCCTGGGAAGTCAACAGAAATGTTACTGTTACTTTATAACTTAAAAAAAAAAAACAGCTAGCTATCATAACTTACATGACTTAATGTTACGGGTTATTTATAAATGTACATTTAAACGTGCGTCTAAATGTTGAGTATGTGCTGCTCCCTCTTACGTGGAGAACACGGTCCTCCTCTTACAGGAGCCGCTCATACTGACAGATTTGTTCTCAGCTGAAGTTACAGAATTTATGATGTTGATGAGTAGACAGACCTGTTAGACGAGTCCATCACACATTCATCTCTCTCTCTCTCTCTCTGAACAGTTAACTGCAGAGTTCTGATGCCTTCATCTGAGAGTGAGTGTGGAGTGTAGATATGGAGCAAAACAGCTCAAACTCAAATGTTGGTGTCATGTGGTTTAATGGTATTAAACAGTTTTAGTCTTAGCTTATGCAAATAGTGAGTCAAACACGTACATCACACTAAAACACTTCCACTATCCTCTGAAATTGTAAACAACCAATAGAAGCACTATTTTAATCACCAAAAGAAAGCATGAAAGTAGGATCATTTTAAACATCAAGGTGACCCGGGGTACTTGGTTTCACATTTTCAAACCAGGAATTTTTCCAACTACTGCTTTTTTTTTCTCTTCATTATGCTGTTAAAACAATCCAACACACACACGGCCGGAGCTGTGGCCAAAAGTTCTTCTTGAAAATGTCCAACAAGAGCAAGATGGGAACTCTAAATCTTTAGGTTTTTGCCTGATTACCGTCTTGCACCAAAACGTTGCAAATAAATGTTTGCTTGCATGTTAAGACTGTGTAGGATCTAAAAGGGACCCTTGTTGTAGTCTTGCAAATCGTTCCCCCTTTTTTTTTTTTTGCAGAATCTTAAAGCCTGTGTCTAAAACTATTTGGTGTTTTATTCTGTAAGAAACACTGATCGTTATTTTTTGCAAAACGTGCTGCCAGAAGTTTCTGTTTTCAGAAAATATGAGTGTATACTGAGAATTCAGTTTATAAACAGCGTGAAGAAATCAACCACTGAAGCAGAATAGTGTCATGAGCATATCAGCTCAGAGGACATGAACTTGAAGGCAGATCAGAGGACCACTGCTGGTGGATGACCTTAAGACAGAGACTGATTATTGATCACTGTGTTTGGTTAAAGTCACTGAGCGGCTACACAAGCAAAGTAAAATAAACTTTTGATTTATTTGAATTTAACAAAGACAGATAAGTTGCACACTTGTGGTGAGCTGGTTGTGTGAGATACTCTGTATATTACTGTGTTTTTTTAACTACTTTGTATGAAACTACATAAAAATTGGTGGTAATCATACCATGGACCTTTAGATAATTATGGTATTAAATTGAACTTTTTATGTCTTAATCAAACTATTTGATTGGACTGCATTTTGATAAGCAATATTGAATATAAATGAGGATAATTAATTGAGAATAATGTATTGGATAAATATTTTTACTCACTTTGATTCACAGTATGTTGGTTGTAACTTCATTGGTTGTAAATAATCGGACTCAAAGCTGATCGTTTGCTCTTACTGACATTGTTCCCTTTTTTTCTAGATCCTTGCTTGTGTTGTTCTTACTCTCTGATGTACGTCGCTTTGGATAAAAGCGTCTGCTCAGTGAATTGTGATGTAGTGACCTGATGTATGCGTGTGTGTGTGACGTGTTCACCTGGCTGTCAGTGGCCTTGACAGCGCTGATAGGTAATCTTCAAATGAGGAGTGTTTGTCTTTGTTTGTGGCGGAGAGCAACAGTTTTTCCGACCCTACTCTGTTCAATATTGTCTCTGATTATGTATTTCACTGAAAAAGGTCAACCAGAGTTTATCAGTAATGATTTGCTTCAGTTACGGCCGATGTCCCAGTTCGTGCTTTATCAAAAGTGTGTGCAACTCCTCACCTGATCTCAGGTGAGCTAAAGTAGACTAAGGACTTTGATAAGCAATTTCACTGAGAGAAATGTTATTGTCCCACAAAACTCTGATACTGTTGCAAACCGAGGACAGGAAGTCCTAGACACCCACTTACAGTAACAGATATTTAAAAAATAAATTTAAAAAAAAGAAGCTGTGCTGGAATGAAAAAGCTAAACTATGTAATTCAACCACCAATATGTGGTTGCCATGCCAACAGTAACAATGTCCTTCAGATTATGTTTAAAAATCAACCTTTGGTAATGTCAGGGGAGATTTTAGTGTTGACTCACAGGTGTTCACCAGGTGTCCACCGAGTGTCCACCAGGTGTCCACCAGGTGTCCACAGAGTGTTCACCAGGTGTCCACCAGGTGTCCACCAGGTGTCCACCGAGTGTCCACCAGGTGTCCACCGAGTGTCCACCAGGTGTTCACCGAGTGTCCACCAGATGTCCACCAGGTGTCCACCGAGTGTCCACCAGGTGTCCACCAGGTGTCCACCGAGTGTCCACCAGATGTCCACCAGGTGTCCACTGAGTGTCCACCAGATGTCCACCAGGTTTCCACTGAGTGTCCACCAGGTGTCCACTGAGTGTCCACTGAGTGTCCACCAGGTTTCCACTAAGTGTCCACCAGGTGTCCACTGTGTGTCCACCGAGTGTCCACTGAGTGTCCACCAGGTTTCCACTGAGTGTCCACTGAGTGTCCACTGAGTGTCCACCAGGTGTCCACAGAGTGTCCACCAGGTGTCCACTGAGTGTCCACTGAGTGTCCACCAGGTTTCCACTGAGTGTCCACTGAGTGTCCACTGAGTGTCCACCAGGTTTCCACTAAGTGTCCACCAGGTGTCCACTGTGTGTCCACCGAGTGTCCACTGAGTGTCCACCAGGTTTCCACTGAGTGTCCACTGAGTGTCCACTGAGTGTCCACCAGGTGTCCACTGAGTGTTCACCAGGTGTCCACCAGGTGTCCACCGAGTGTCCACCAGATGTCCACCAGGTGTCCACCGAGTGTCCACCAGATGTCCACCAGGTTTCCACTGAGTGTCCACCAGGTGTCCACTGAGTGTCCACCAGGTTTCCACTAAGTGTCCACCAGGTGTCCACTGTGTGTCCACCGAGTGTCCACTGAGTGTCCACCAGGTTTCCACTGAGTGTCCACTGAGTGTCCACTGAGTGTCCACCAGGTGTCCACAGAGTGTCCACTGAGTGTCCACTGAGTGTCCACTGAGTGTCCACCAGGTGTCCACTGAGTGTCCACTGAGTGTCCACAGGTGTCCACTGAGTGTCCACCAGGTGTCCATTAAGCAAAATCTCACATAGTCACATAAACAATAAAATACTCTCAGGTGATAAAATGTCAAATAAGAAAACAAAGTAAACAGTTAGTAACATGAGAAACTACCAGCTGCTGCACTGATTTCACGTTAACGTCACTAACTCGCCACGAACACTTTACAGTGGCAAAGTTATTTCAATGTAAAGTAACATTTAAACGTACAAACAGCACAGATCTGTCGTGATCACCTCACAGGTGTACTCTGACAGTTTAGCTGCTAACGCTAGCTTTTGGTCAACACGTTCAGTTTACGTCGCTGTAATGAAAAACTACAATAAACCTCACCTCAAAGTGAGATCCAGCGCCGGGGTCGTGTTCTTTCCATTCTGATGTTACACTTTTAAAAAAAATTACCTGTCTTTTATATTTACTTCCTTGCCAGCTACATGGGCAACAAAACAGTCCGGATACTGTTTTCTTCTTCTTCTTCTTCTTCATGAGGCGGTTTACGAATTGGTGCTTTAGCGCCACCTTTCGGTGTGGAGGGTACAAGGCATGGCAAAAAAATATTATTTATAAGGGACAGAATGAGGAAACAAGCGTCTGTTCAATATCCATTTCTGTCTGTCTCTTCCTCTGCATCATCTCACTTTGACCAGGCAACACAGAGGCCTACATGTTCACTGTTTTTTTTTATGTTTAAGTTGCCTTGAAAGGTTATGACAACAGGTGCAGGTCGTTTGTAAGGGAATCACAATCAGAATATAAAATGAGTTCATTTTGACCACCAATTAATCAACAATATCTCTTAGTCATTTAAAAAAAAAAAAAAAAACATTGTATTTACTCATTGTTATAGAGCAATAACAAGTGCATATTGATGTAAAACGTGAAAGAAAAGGTCTTCGATGGCAGGATTGAAAAAATCTATAGGTCAGCCGGTGTGGATGTGCTGGACTTCTCCATAGTAAGAACACAGTATAGGGCACTCTTTTATATAATAGCAACCAAAAGGACCTGCTTTCTCATGTTCTCCAATGGTAAGACAGCCATGGATGACATGTTATCGAGAAGCGTCAGACTTTAACTTTGTTTTGTTTGTTATCAAGATAATTGAATGGGTTTAAATATTGTTTTGTATACAACCCCACAGTGTACATCTGTAGTAAGCTGGCAGGATAAATGCTGGATGTGATTCCATAGTCCTAATATGTAATACTTTTAAAAAGAGTAATAAGCTGTTGTTCTACAATTCTACAACAATTCTACAATTCACTTAGCAGACGCTTTTATCCAAAGCGACGTACATCAGAGAGTAAATACAACACAAGCAAGGAGCTAGAAAAAAAGGGAACAATGTCAGTAAGAGCAAACGATCAGCTTTGAGTCTGATTGGACACACAGGTGCTGACAGGAAGTGACCAGAGGCAAAGCACAACATTGAGGGCAGTTCTTGAGAGCTCTAATCAGTATAGAAACCATCTTATAAGTCGTCTTTATCAAACAAAAACAATCGTGAAAACCATCATCATCATCGATAATATCAAGACCATCATCATTAAGTTAGTAGGTATTCATGAAAGAGCTGGGTCTTTAGTTTTTCCTTAAAGGTGCAGAGGGACTCTGCAGATCGATTGTTGTTTACTATTTGCAAATCAATTAAAATACTGTTTAATAAAATGCCTTCAGCTTGTTGGCATTCTGTTGTGGACTTGTTTTCCCCACATTTTCTCCACTAACAGGACACAATAGATTATAATTTCTACACTAAAGATCATTATGGAGGCCCATATTCATACGTTTTGTCCACTTGATGGGCACCCTTGATTGCACTTATTCTCATGTCCTGTTCTAGACAACCATTAAGGACACTGGTGACCAAAGCAAGGTCAGTGTATCACTGATAGGGAATGAATTAATTGTTATGAAGAAAAAAAAAGTGAAAGAGTCAACAGTCATTTGAGAATCCAGACTATCACATCAATTAGCAGTCGTGCAAAAACCATCGGAAATCTGTTAATAACTAGTAACCACGGAATAAATCTGATTTGGCCCCAAAAACGGAACCAAAGCGTCGCATGTCGGACAGTGAGAGTCCATCATGTCCACAGGAAGTCCTGTCCCCTGTTTCCGCTTCTTGTGCAACGCAGAAACAGCAACACGGCGAGATGAGTCAAAGCTACAGAAAGTCACCGGATCTAGATGAAGAAAGTAAGAGGAAACACAAAATAAAGGAGATATTGTATTTAATTTTATGCTATTTTTTTTAAAAAGGCATCTATTTCACATAATCCTTCGCAGGCATTGAATTTACAATATGTTTAAAAAAAGAAACATGTACACTTAAACGGCATAAAACGGGAAATGCTAGTTTAAATACTTTATTTTGAAGGTCAAAAGCGGAAGTAATCGTTAACAGTGTGTCTACCTTGACACGTTAAGATTTTGTAACAACATTGAACGTCGCATGTTACTGACAGGCGGCAACGTTTCATAAACCAAACCAGACTTCGCTTTTACATTTCCAACTTGTCTTGAATTGTGAATCGTGTTGTTCGCCTTCCTCTTCGGAAACCAGTCGTTTAAACTGGTTCGGACCGGTGTACGCTGGTGTGTTTTTGTTGTTGCAGTCAGCGTGTTGTTGTTATTGGAGGTCAGCGGGTCTCCAGGTGAAACCAGCGCGCAGAGTCGAGATGCTTTCCCCCGGCAGGACCGTCTCTTCCCGGCTACTGAGGCCGGCCTCGTGGATCCCTTTCCGGATGGGCTCTGACGGGAGAGCCGCCAGCACTCAGAGAGGTAACAACCAATAAGTCTTTATACATTTAATTTAAGCACAGAGCAGCTAGCACGAAGCTAATCCCAAAGTGACGCAGTTCAGTATAGAGACAGGAAACTTCTTAACTTCTTCAAGTTGTGTCGTGAAACTTGATTACATCTTTAAAGACACCATAAAATATCTGAATATATAAATATGTCGATAAGCTCTTTACTTGACTTACAGATTTAATCAACATCATTTATTATGTAAAGTTTTTAATATTTTTGTCGTTCTTTAAATTTTCTAATATATTACCTGGATTTAATGTGATAACTGTGAGGGATTTTGTCACTTTAAATTCTTTTTTTCTTTTAATAAAAATAATAATAGTTTAATAATGTATTATTTGGACATTTGGTTGAAATTGATAGAGATGTTTGATATATGTGAAACCTTGCATCATTATTACTCCAGGCCCATTTTCATTCAGGATCATTAAAGTATTCATCCATCACTCCCTCTCCTGTGATATTGCTTAAAAGGTTTTGTTAAACTATAAACCATAGTTTTCATTGTATCACAAATGTTCAAAAACAGGGCACTAACAGAGTAAAAAGAAGAGTAATAAATGGATACTGTAACACACAGCATCGTAGCTCTACATTTGGACAATCATGTTTCTCCACCTAAGTCGGTAAAATTTGGAACTCATAACCACCTGAAATCAAATTAATCCCAGAATCAAAATCTACAATGGAAAAACAAAGGTTAAATACTGACTAAAAGTGAACCAGAGCTGTGCCCATTTTTAAATTGTTGTATCTTAAAATTGTAGTTTGCATTGGTTTATGGAATTGTTGTATTGTGAAATTGTGGTATATGTATTTAAATGTGTGTGTGTGTGTATAGATGTATTAATTTTATTTTGTAATATGTAGTCGAATGTTGTACATTTTATAAACTCTTCACACAAAGGCACAGCAGATAGACACAAGCTGAGTTAATTCTAACATCCACTCTTTCATTTTGGTTTATCGTACTTCATTTTGTTATTGAAATATTGCACAAAGTAATCACACATTGTACACATTTTTAAAATATCACGCAGGCCTAATAAGTACATAACAAACACTCACTGCATTTATCTGTATTATGTTATATCGCAATATTTATATCAGAAACCAAATATATTGCAATCTCATTTTATTCCAATATTGTGCAGACTTAATATTTGCATATTTTTAAACTCTAGGTTATCAAATTTGGCTTCAGAAAAGAGAACTCTATTGATCCTCTTTAGGTCGTGTTTCGAAGCACAAAAGAAGACTTTAGTTTGAAGTGAAGTCTTACCATCCAAGGATGTGCATTTTGTTTGATCAAAAGTTTGATGACAGTTAATGTCCGCTGATACAAAGCTCAGTTAACCAACTGGACTCTACTAGTGGATGAATGACTCAGCAAAATGAACGACCTGCCTGTGACCTTGAATCACAGTCACACAATGAGTCAGCGTCACACAATGAGTCAGCGTCACACAGACCTAATGGAGTTAAACAAGCTGACTGTCTGTTGTTGTTTTTTGCTGCAGAGTTGATAAAGAAACAGGAACTGGAGAAAGATGAGCCCCGCCCTCTTTACATGGACTTCCAGGCCACCACACCCATGGTAGCTAACTTTTGTCAACCACGTTGTCATGGTTACAGACTTCACCAGCTGATGTCCGAGTCAAAGAGAGCTATTTACGCTCATTACACTCATTTGCGCTTTGAGTGAAACGTGTGTGTTTGCGTTTAGGACCCCCGGGTGTTGGACGCCATGTTACCTTACCAGGTGAATTATTACGGTAACCCTCACTCCAGGACACACGCCTATGGCTGGGAGAGCGAGACTGCCATGGAGACAGCCAGGAAGGTAGAGACGTTCAGCTTGTTCACATACCATGAGAGAGAGAAATGTAGGTTTGATAATAAGTCTCAACTTGGGGGCGCTAGCTCAGTTGGTAGAGCAGTCTCCCATAAACAGAGGCTAAATGAAGGCAAACCCACCCAACCCACTAAAAAGAATAATTCTCACCCTATTTTTTATAAGCTATATGTAGCTCCATTAGCTGACACATCTGTAGTTACATCTGGAAAATATGAACAATGTTAACCTGTAGATATCTACCTGAGTATGTTTACTCGGTAATCATTTTATTAATCCGATTAAAGAGAGCGAGACACTGACTCTGTATTATCTCTCGCTCTCTCTCTGTCTGTCTGTCTCTCTCTCTCTCTCGCTCTCTCTGAGCAGCAGGTCGCTGATTTGATTGGAGCAGATCCCAGAGAGATCATCTTCACCAGCGGAGCCACCGAGTCCAACAACATGGCCATCAAGGTCATCATTTACTTCTCATAATCATGATCTTCTCTAAAATCGTTTCCACTTTGCTTCATCACATCTTCTCTCACACTTATTCTTGAAGAGTTGTGTTTCTTAAATTCTTAATTGGTTTTTTTTTTTTAATGTTTCAGTTCACATTGTCGACAGAAAACTGTAAAAAGTGTAAAAAGAAACTCATGTTGTGTCAGTCATGTTTTTGCACACTGACTCTGAAACTTTTCGGGTTTGGAGTATACACTTGTCACACTGGAAATAAATCTGTGTGTAAATATTTAGTTCTAGGACCTTAGAGATGTGACATCTAGCTGAGATGCTAGCCTAGTATGCTAACACTTTGTTATTCATGGTGCTTGTCTCTAGTTTCTCTGTGCTGCTCTGTGTACTCTCTGCTTGGTATTTTGATCGCGCTTGTACAACCTTTAGTTCAACTAAAAAAATATGTTTTTAAGAGAGAAAAATAAAGTTTGCTTAGCTTGAGAATA